CCTATACGACATTGGCAATTATCGCCCAATCTGCCTGCTGTCTGTAGTCTACAAACTCTTCACACGAGTCATCCTGAACAGGATTGGCAGAACACTAGACGAAGGACAGCCATGCGAGCAAGCAGGGTTTCGAAGAGGATTCAGATCGATCACATCCACACGGTAACGAAGCTCATCGAAGTATCGCGAGAGTACAAGATGCCGCTATGTCTCACGTTCATCGACTTGAAGAAAGCCTTCGACTCCGTTGAGACAGAAGCGGTTATCGAAGCCCTGGGCAACCAGGGTATTCCTACTCAGTACATCAGGATTCTTCGTGAGCTCTACAGCAACTTCACGACCAAGATTTCACCATTCTACAAGGAGATCATCATCGATGTGAAGAGAGGGGTCCGACAGGGCGACACCATCTCGCCCAAGCTCTTCAGCGCCTCTCTCGAGAACGTCATGCGTCAACTGGAATGGGAAGACATGGGAGTGAAGATCGACGGTCGGCAACTACACCATCTCCGCTTTGCTGACGACATCGTTTTGATAACACCAAACATCGAGCAAGCGGAACGAATGCTGGCTGAATTCGACTGCGCGTGTGGAAAAATCGGTCTACGGCTGAATCTAACGAAGACGATGTTCATGAGAAACGGATTGGTTTCTGATGCCCCATTCACGCTCAACGACATCTCTGAATGCTCTAGCTATGTGTACCTAGGTCGTGAAATCAATATGATGAATGACTTAGCTCCAGAGCTGAGCAGGAGGAAGCGAGCGGCTTGGGGAGCCTTCAAGAACATCGAGGGAGTAGCGAAGAAGACGAAGAACACCAAGCTCCGTGCCCACCTCTTCGATTCCGCGGTCCTTCCTGCCTTGACGTACGCCTCAGAGACTTGGACTCTACGAAAGCAGGATGAGCATGCGGTCGGCGTTATTCAACGCGCCATCGAAAGGGCGATGCTCGGAGTTTCCCGCTACACGCAAGTGAGAGAGGGAATCCGGAGCTCCGCACTCCGCCGACGATCGAAGATCAGAGACGCCGCCGCATTTGCCAAGGTTTCGAAGATCAGGTGGGCCGGGCACGTCATGCGTTTCGAGGACGACCGCTGGACCAGAGCGATCACCGACTGGATTCCACGGGATGTCAAGCGAACGCCTGGACGACCGCCTATGCGATGGTCAGACTTCTTCGTGAAAGCTCTGAACGAATGGTATGAAGTTCATCGTGTCCCTCGAGCTGAGAGAGTTCATTGGGCAACTCTTGCACGTTGCAGGGACGAATGGAGACGTTACTGGCGCCCGCTCGAGGAACTCGATGATCAACGGGAGCACAGGTGATACAGGTGATTTTATCACTAATTCCAGTGGTCACTCACACGTGCGAAGTCGTGGCAACCATGGGAAATGTAGCAAAAGAACAGTGGAAAAGCCAATGCGGATCGCTAATTTGTTGAATGTTCACAGCGGTGACCATTGGCATGAACGCCGCGTGCCACGCGAACTCCGCCGATCATCGCGTGCGACCGTCGTGCGCGGCATGTGACAAAGTCGCGCGATCAATGGCGCGCCATAGGGGCACACATGTATTACATAAGTATTGTTATCACGTGTCCGCCGTTACAACGGTCGTAGGCAGCTATTGTACCGAGAACTGTGGGCAAATCCAGTGCCAAAAATTAGGACACGATATTCAGCCTTGATTGTGTGCAGGTTGCCCGTTGGGCTGGAGAATTCATTGGTTTTCGAAGAGTTCATATTTCCAGCTTTATCGTATGACCTGGATGCATCGCTGACCGTCGCCACACCAGATTTTCAATTTTAGTGGAACAAAGGGTTTCCTACCATGGCATTATATAGGATATTGGGAATCGATGTTTTCCCAAAGCTTGACTGCGAACGTATCCATGAAATGCTGGCAGATGGAACTCGAGTTCCGTCTGACACGTTAATTTGTCCTGTGAACCCCGCATATTGTACGACGCGCTGGTCGGGTGATAGCTGATGAGCCGTTCTGCTTGTTTTGGGGAAGCCCTACTGGGCTGGAAGCGTGGCAGAGAAGTTGAGGATTGGGAGAAAGGGAACATTACAAGCTCCCAGTTGTCTCAAAATCCGCCATGTTCCACCAAAAGCGCAGCCACCACATTTGGATTTAGTTCTGGGCCACGCCCTCCTCATCTCCGTGATATGGAGTGTGAAATGTCTAGAATATGCACTATCTTTTTCAGAGCTATTGGTCATATGATGTCCACACTTCTCTTTCCCATCTTTCCATTTGTGCTTCACCTCCTCGTAAGTACCTCTTCTTTTACGAAGTTCATTTTCCTTCAACACGTCTCTGTAAAATTGACAGGTTATTGCCCTATGGGGCACGATAGCGATATGGTTGGCTTCTTCTGGCGCTGAGACTTGTCAGCGGAATGATGGGCGCAATACAACATGTGATTGTTCTACAAGGACGCAGGTTGGCTACTGTGCTTAATTACTAGTTATTAGGGCTGCCCTAACTAGTTGACCTCTTGGACTCACATTAATCCTTTAACTCATTACGCCACTTTCTAATTAAGGATCCCAACTGTGTGTTTCTCGGCCTCGTCAGGCAAGAGACGACTATCTTCTGGCTGCAGGTCTATAACCTCTTTGCATTTTTCTGGATGATGTGCTTCGTTTCAGCGCTCGGTATGCCAAGCTTCGAATACCTACGTTACCTATATTAAAACTGGTATAGGTTACCTAAATGTGTAGGTGTACTGTAATTTCGTCCGGAAGTGTCTCTGAAAACGGCGTTTGAAATTGCCAGGAGGGAGGAGCAAGGAACCGAAAGGCGTGACGCGCCAATCATTTGCCCTTTCCTGCAGCAATAAGAAGGGTCCACGGACAACTCGGGCTTAGTCACTGTAATATTCTGTTTTTCTGAGCGCCGTCTCATCTGCATTATGTTACCACTGTGAGCTGGCGATTACTTTCGACGTCATCCCCTCCACGAACGACTCTGGCAACAATCGCCCCCCCCCCCCCCCCTCCAGCGATCGTGCACTGGTTTCAAGCTTTGAAGAGCCAACACTGGGACAGCTAATTGTTCGTTTTACAGGGGATATTTCTCTTGCGGGAGCATTCGCTAGTTATTATTGGGCCAAGAACAAACCAAAGGACGTTCCATCGTTTCCTGTTTTGAGAGCGCTTGGACGGGCGCTTAGGTATGTTTGAGAATACTGAGAATATTAAAGATTAGTTGAAGAAAAGCTCGTTATTCGGATCTAGTACAGTTCGGAGATGCACACAGGGAGACTAGACTACCCCCACTTGATCGTCGACAGGAGTAGGCCCAGATAGATCGTTTCCAGCCTCCACGCAGGAAATTAAAGCCTTACTATTTTCTTTTGAGGATATGGTCAAGGAGGATCAGTTTCGCTGCCCCGTGCCACCCAAACCCTGTAATCCTACTTTTCCTTCATGTAATGAAGCCGTCTTATGTATTTCATCTCCGTATGAAGCGAGTCTTCGTTCAGATACAATCTGGGTTCATTAGCTTTTGGCTCGCTGATAATCGCAGTGACAAAAATCATAAGAGTATTGTTGGACTACTTGGATAAGAAGCTTTCAACAACTAACAGCACTATAATAAAAGTAATCCTGAGGTGAGTTTCACTTTCTGATCGATTACCTTTTTCATACTTCTCACTTGCTTCCTGCCGGTTCTTTCTTCGGTCCGTCATAAACACAATAGAAATAATTATAATTCAGTGCATTGAAATGCTGTTTTTGGTGCTTGGAAGTGTTCTTCAAATTCCTCACTAAAAACGCTTATATCATGGTAAGCGAGATTTGATGATTATTTCAATAGTTATTAATGTCGAGAGGTTTTCTTTGAATTAAGTTGAAAATGAGGGTGCAAAAGGTCAGCTCTGTGTCGAGCTGTGCAAAACTATACCCAAAGCCTGGTTCGCCTGAGTGGGACGTTCAACATGCGCGGGGGGGGGGCGGGAGGCTGTCCCTCGCGCGTTTTGAGGCTGGCAGTGTTATCACGCTAAAGGAAATAACCTCAAGTTGGAGTATAGCTTCGCACATCTCAGTTGTGGCGTGGAGCGCTAGAACCCTACTATATATAATCCACTAAGTATGTCTGTAAGTGTGTGTGTGTATCTGTTTGTGTGTGCGTCTGTCTGTGTGTCACGAAATTCATAGCGCCGTCCCAGTAGCAGTGAGACATTGGTTCCAAGAAGTGATGTAGGGGGTGTGACGGGAACATTATCGGTGGGTGACATTCGATAAGAGGCGTTAGAAGGGGGAAGCCATTATATTTCTAACGTGGGTGACAGCATCACCTAGCTGTCGATTCCAATGTATGATGGAGGGTATAGGCTGGGAACTTTATTGGTAGAAGACAGGAAGTAATATCTGCAGATAAGATTTGATAAGGGGCCTTAGAAGGAAGAGCCTACCGTATTCATAACGCAGGTGACAGCATCAGCTAGCTCTTGATTCCAAGATATGATATAGGGTATGGGCCAAGAACATTATTGGTGGGTGACAAGAACTGTAAGCTGCTGATAAGATTCGATAAGGGCGTTAGGTGAGGTCATCGTATTCACAGCGCAGGTCACAGCATCAGCGAGGGGCACGTTTCAGCGCGTGATATAGAGGGTGAGATGGGGACATCAAGGTTGGGTGACTGGAAGCGATCTACTGATAAAGGCTGATAAGGGAAGTTGCAGTCGTCGTCGCTGTTCAAGGTGGTTCACGCTACCAAATCATAGAGATTTAGTGATGAGGACATTGATGACGGGTGACAGGTAATCTTATCAATCGATAAAAACGGATAAGATCCCATCTGCGCTATATTTACATTTTTTTGATTAGCGCATTCTACCTCGCCCAAGGGAAGAGTGCCTGGCGAAGCCAGGTAGGCCCACCGAAGCCGGGCCCTGTAATAGAAGGAGGAGCACCCGGCGGCAGCCGAGTGATCCTACTGGTGACGTTATAAGTGGCATTATGCGCGCGGCATTCGAACCATAGTTTGGGCACAACGCGGCGCTTTGGATTTGCTGGACTGCTCCCCTCTAGATTAGTAATGGTCTTTCTCTGCTTTCTGACAGAAGTATCGTACATCACTTCGTGAAAAATCCTTTTCAGATGGCGATTTATGGCAAGAACTTCTTTACGTCAGCCAAAGAAAGTTTCTTGCTGCTTGTCAGAAATTGTGTACGGGCAGCTGTCGTCAGTCAAGTGGCTGGAATTCTTCTTTTCATTGGAAAAGCGCTAATCACACTTGGAATGGGTATGTCTCATTCATAGTTACGTCATCTGAAAGTAGAAAAAAAAACGAAAAACGTGGTGTAAATAATGAGCTCGAGACAGAAAATAGCTCGGAGTTTCAGTGGGCGGAACAATTAGGAAGGCTTCAAAAATGCCATTTATGAAAGCCGCAGCGCCTTTGTTACTTAGCCGTGGAGGTGGGTGGGATAATCTCAGCACTGAGGACCAGTCTATTTGAATAGGAAGGACGTCTGTGAATTGCTCGGGCACGGGAGCTGTCTTCGAGTTGCCTTTCTTTTTAATGATTTTGAACTCATAATATTTGGAAGATTTTCTACCGAAATCTGCTCAATGCATTTCTCAACATTGCAGGTGTCGTTGCATTTTTCTATTTCTCCGGTCAGTGGGTGGTCGACGGTATACCACGGGTCGAATTGTACTACTATTTTGTACCTATTGTTCTCGTACTAATAGGTTTGTTTTTCGCTCATTTTATTTAGCTACTCGTTGGTCTTGCATATATCTCCTTTTTCTGAACAAAAGGGGCTACCCAGATTTCACGTAACTAAAAACTAAACATACAAAGGTCAGGTAAGAACTCTGTCGTCCCCGCTAGAATAGCTGGTTCATATTTGTCTGAAACGGGGGAAATACTGAGGTGCACGCTAATTGCTTCCCTGGGATCAGTCGTGAACAGAACAGCAGCGATCAAACTCCGGCTCTTTTTGGATGTATCGACAAAAACCTCCCACTTGTCCCCGGTACCAAGAGAACAGAAGTTTCGATCCGGTTGAGGAAAAGCAGTTCGAAATGGGTATACCCTCTATTAGCTGTAAAAGCTACTGGTAATAATAACCACGACCCAATTTCGTGAGAAATCTACATTTCTTCGAAACGGCATGTTCTCAAGAAGTAATCCTCGAATGAATGGTAATGAATGGTGCAGGACAAGAAAATAATATTCTAAAGATGGGAATACCGGCTTTAGTACAAATCATTTCTTACGAGATTCACTTTGCTCGTGACCACGCGTCGCGGTTTCACAATAGAGCGCGCTACCTTGCGACCTAGTCCACTACTGGTTTCGGCCCATAATTTTTACCTAGTTACTGCGGAACCGGCTGGTAGGATATTATGACCAAATTCATGACCTTCTTGCTGGTTCTTTGGATAGTTCTTCATTAATTAATTTAGCGAAGGTTTAATTGATTTGGGGATTTGATACACTGTGCGTAGTGACTTCTCTTGCCATTTTCGCGCAGTAAGCCTACACACGGCGCGTCCTGCCCTCCTGCTGGGAGAAATTTTGCGAAATTTTCCTCAAAATTTGTTTTTCTAAGACTCCCCCAACCCTTCTTTCCCATCCTACTCTACCATTACCTTCCTTTTTCTCCTCAGTTTTCTCCCGAATTCGGAGAAAACAAAACTACCGCCGAGCGCAGGGAGGCGTTTTTTGCGCTGGTGAAATGAGAAAAATCAAGAAAAGCCAAAAATCTTAGACATTTCTCTCAAAAAACGACCCTCCATCCATCCACCGACCGAGCACGACCCAACCCCCCTCCCACCCCTTGGGAACCAGGTCACGTCACTCCTCAGCAGCTCGAAGGATTCTACTTACACGCAAGATGTACGAATTGTCGTGGGTATCGCTGAGTTTTTGGAAGAAGCCAACTTATCACTCCATATATATAATATATATCCATGATATATATATATATATATATATATATATATATATATATATATATATATATATATATATATATATATATATATATATATATATATATATAAAAGGATAAAGTCTTCGCCGTTAATCAATCCCTTTGTGGGATGCGGCACGCATTCTACTTCCATTCAGAATCGTAGTGGCTTATTGAATGCGATGTGGCCTATACAATGACTTGCGGGGGCCAGCCGATGTACAAGTCAGTGTTTTATCCTCCCAGACGAATCTGGTACCAATTTACCGTCCCCGGAGGGTAGAAGGCTTGGTTGGCCTGGGCGGGTGGTGCAGGGGTTCGACCCGCGGCTTTGAACGGGACCGCAGCGAGTGGTTAGCGCGCCAACTGTCACATACACCACCTCCGAGCCATTATATATTATATATATATATATATATATATATATATATATATATATATATATATATATATATATATATATATATATATATATATATATATATATATATATATATATATATATATATATATATATATATATATATATATATATATATATATATATATATATATATATATATATATATATATATAATTCGCTTCGTCTGTTTGTTTGTAAGTTTGTTTGTTTGTTTGTAAGTTTGTTTGTCTGTCCGGAAATTCGGTTCGACCTGAAGAACGACTTGGAGAGGTCGGGTCAAGGTGGGGATGGGTAGGGCATGGGACAAGAAATAAAAAGCACACTTGACCTATGGGAAGCCCCGCCCACAGTGGGCCCCGAAAGTTTGGGGTTCCGCAGAAAAATGTTCATAATTCGCTTCCGGAGCAGCTTAAAGATGGGGAAAAAGGAATAAGGTTAGTAAGGAGTCGCCAGACTAAACTGTGGCAGACACATCCAAAATGGGCGGGGCGTACTCAAGGTGGGCGGTGCTTCTCGCAAAATTCAGTAACCCATTCGCGAGAGTGTTTGGAAGTCGCAAAAACTCAGTAGAATGTAAATATCTGGCGAATATAGGGCACGCTCAAAGTGTGTTGAGACCCGCCCACAGTGGGCGGAGCTTGCCCTAAATCGCTATTCATTTTAAAAGTTTGTAGCTCGGTTCCAGAACACTCCAGACACCGGAAAAAAGTGGACTAAGGTCAGCAGAGGGTCGCCGGTGAGGATTGTGGGGCAAAAACATTGTGGGCGGAGCCAGAAAAAGGTCTGTAAAACGGTTCCAGAGCACTCCGAAGACCGGAATAAAGTGAATTCAGGTCAGCAAGGGGTCGCCGATTGAGAAATGTGGGGTATACATATTGTGGGCGGGGCCAGCCCGAGGTGGGCGGAGCCAGACGAAAATTCTCTAAAACTGTCCCAGAGCACTTCAAAGACCGGAAAAAACGTGGATTAAGGTCAGCAGAGGGTCGTCGGTGAGGATTGTGGGGCAAAAACATTGTGGGCGGAGCCTGCTCCGAGGTGGGCGGAGCCAGAAAAAAAGGTCTGTAAAACGGTTCCAGAGCACTCCGAAGACCGGAATAAAGTGAATTCAGGTCAGCAAGGGGTCGCCGATTGAGAAATGTGGGGTATACATATTGTGGGCGGGGCCAGCCCGAGGTGGGCGGAGCCAGACGAAGAATCTGTAAAATAGCTCAAGAGTACTTCAGACACCGGAAAAAAGTGGAGTACAGAACAAAAGGCGGATATCAGTTGAGTCTAGAAATATGTGAAAGAAAATACGCGCGGCGAAGCCGCGCTCGCCCGGCGCAGCCGGGCCGTATCAGAAGGAGGCGCGCCGGCGTTAGCCGGCGAGCCGACTGGTCCTTATTATAAATCAACTGCGTGTTGATCTGCGCTAACAAACAATATTTTGAAAAAAAGAAATCTTTGGAAGGGTTAGAAAAATTCCATTTCAGGAAGTTACTTCGTGGCAGATTTGTTCTTTGACGTCTACGAAATGGCTGTCGATACGACATTCATTTGTTTCCGTGAGTGATTTTCAATGACGAATTAAACGATTCCTACGTACAAATATTGGTTCGATGGTCCATTACTTTTACACCGAACACTTGAAGGATACCTACTGTTTCAGTGGAAGATTCCGAACAAAACGACGGAACTCCAGAGAAGCCGTACTATATGTCTAAGAATCTTCAGAAGATTCTTGACATAAAAAACGAAAGATGATGCAGGTGTCTTTACTGCTTCGGCCTTCAACTTTCCTCAATAGAGAGATAGTCGATGTGTACTCACTGGTGCCAGTGTATATGACCAGCTAAAATTGAGTAATTTATCATATATCGATTGAACGTCTCCCACGAAATCTCCATGATAGTCATTCCAATATCTCTGTGAAAGCTCACGAAAAGCTACATTGATCTAACGTGTACACTGTAATTGTAGCCAGGTTACCAACATGTCTTACATCTACACTTCTACAGATCGCTTCGCCAAAAGTGCAATTTTGACGTGAAGAACGGACCTTTCCTACTGACCTCGTAAAAAAAATTCAGGTAACGGTAGTTGCAGTAGCAGGGATGCGCCCCCAGAAGGGTTTCGTTCGCCACAGGAGCGTCTTTAAAAACGGTTTCTTGCATGTAGGTGGCATACATGTGTGGACCACGAACTGCGGCTTCATTTATAGTGCCTGTTCCTGAAGATGCAAAAAAGAAAGTGGAAACGACAATTCAAAGCTCTTAATCAACTCTTCACTCTCTGTGCCATCGTGGTCGAAAACGCTAAAATATGGTTGAAAATAACGCACTTGTAAAGAGGGTTCAATTCAGCAGTCATTACTAATACAACGTTTTTTTACAAGGCCACAATCATTGCCAGTCATTGGGATTGGTGAAATGTAAGTCCGACCCATCAAATGCCTCTTCCTTGCACCGCAGACCCACCTCCGCCCAAATTTCCTCATGTGGTACAACACCATATCACTGCCCAAACTCCTCTCTGAGACGCGTAGGCAGAGCTGCCTATTTGAGGGCAACAGTCATTCGTTCGATATTCCCACTTGAGGCAACTGTTGTCATGCCTTGTGTTGGACGAGAACATATGACATTATCCCATATTTGAAATATCTCACCAAAATCCCACCATGCTCCAGCAGGAATACTCCTAGAATGAAGATTTGAAAAAATGTTTTCTCTAAAAAAAAACCCGTGATTCTGACGGTAGGCTGCTCCGTCAGTCACTGCCCGTCCTACCGTCAACTAAAAATTTTGCAAATGCGCTTCCCCCCTCGAAAGTTCCTACTCTTGTACGTCCCCCCATCCCTCATCCTCCCTCCCACTTACCATCATCCCAGATTTTCCCATCTCCTTACCACTTTTCCAAAGTTTCTTTCCCAGTTAAGTTCTTTTCTTATTCTCCCGTTGCAGGGTCCGCTGTTCTTACTACACGTCGCCACTTGTTCCGATCCACTGCATCTTCTGCTGTGGCTTTCACTTCAGTGAGGTCCCTCTTGATGACGTCCCTCCATCTTTTCTTTGGGGCTCCTCGTGGTCGCTTGCCCTCTACCTCGAGTTCCAATGCCTTCCTTATTGGGTGGTCTTCAGGCCTCCTCAGTACATGACCGTACCATCGCAGTCGCTGCTCTCGTGCCTTCAGCTGGATAGGAGCCGTCTGTGTGACCGCTCTGACGTCCTCGTTTCTGACTCTGTCGAGTCGTGTCCAGCCGCAGGCCCATCTCAGCATCCTCATTTCAGCTGAGTGGAGCTGCCTTTCATGGTTCTTGCAGATGGGCCAGCACTCACTGCCGTAGAGCATTGTAGGCCTTACCACCGCCCGGTACACCTTGCCCTTGAGCGTTCTCGAGCACCGCCGGTCGCACAGG